TTTTATTGCAGTGTTAAAAAAAAAATTAATACAAAATGATCGGCAAAGTAAATTTTTTTTGTACCTTTACTTTGCACACCAAGAACAATATGTAACACTTTGTTTTTTCTTTAATGGGTTAATGATACAATCTCAAAAATCATTTTTTAATTAGGAAATTATGTGTAAAAACTGCATGATAAAAATCTTTGTGTCTTACAACAAATCTGCAGCATAAGGGATAAGATAAGTAATCACTTTATATTTAAACCATTCAATTTTTCTAACATAAACTGACCTTTTTGGATTTTGAAAGAATCATGAGAAAAAAATCCATATTGGCCATAACCCCATACATTTTCTAATGATAAACTACATAGCATTTGATATGCTGTCTTATCTTGCCAACCAGACTTTTGTTCACATTCATTTATATAGCTCTTGAGGGTTGAAACTGATGGCAGACACATTATCCCCTTCAAAGTACTATAAGCTGCATTACCTCCATGGCTGTATACAGAAATAGCCCATCGCAAGAACCTAAAAGATGAAAATAATTAATGTAATGTTTTTTATTTTAAGTTATTGTAGTGACATACATAGGGTGATATCTTGTTCCTTTTGATTTCCCACATTGTATACGAATAAGTTCTTGAAAAATGGGATTAAGCGATGAAATATCTGTTGTACTGTTTGAAATATCTGTGGCAACTTTTTCAACAATATTTGCCATTTCTTCTGACACTCCCTCTTCTTCATCCTCCACTTTCTTTTTCAGATGATCTTGCAATGTTTCTATAATTTTATTGGATTTTTTAATAGCCTTTGATTAAAATAGATAAAAAAATTTGTTAATTTTAAAACTAATAATTCACATTTCAATATCCATTAAGAAGAATTTACTTTTCTTTGCTTCTCCAAGGATTTTTTACAGATTTTGTACCAGCAAGAGATCTATCATGTATTTTTAACATAGTTTTCTTTAACTTTTTACAATTTTCACATGCACCCTTTGTATCTACAAGAAGACAACAATCTACATGGTGATATATTTCATCAGGCTTTCCTTTATTTTCCAAGAATGCAAAGGGTTCATGAGAGTTGTTAGGACCAAGTTTATTATTTACAAGTTGTGGACCTCGAATATGTGTCACTTCTTCAAATCCTACATAATAAACCAATTTTAATAAAATCTGCTATTAAGTTATAAAGATATTCCACTACAAATTTTTGCATCAAATACATATTCGATAACTTCTTCCATCTCTGCAAGTGTTCTTTTTGCTGAAACTCCTGGAAACAATACATCAGTATTTTTCACAAATTTTCCCAATACATTTACTTCATATAAAATTAAATTTGCATTCCAAATGATAGTCATATCTTTTTCTACCCTTCCTTCACTCCCAAAAAAATTTAATGCTAAGCCCTGTTCAATTTCCCTCAATCCAGTTCCAGCTAACTTACCATTTAATTTAATCTTATTTTTAATTGATGTTGCAACATACAAAATGGTTGCAGTTGAATTGTTACTCCAGTAAAGAATTTGTCTGGATGGTCTTAATATGGATGCAATACTAGGACTAGAAGTAACAGGTTCTAAAAATATTGTAGCAATTGCAGATCTTTCTCCACTAAATAAACCTTGCTTTTTAAGAATTTAATCACTGAAAAAAAGGAATTAAACTTATTTCCACTTGTTGGATCATATACATATGACATATTTTCTCCTTTATCATAAATCAAAATCCCTTCTATAAATTTGTTATTTTTATAAAAAAAGTAAACTGATTTCCCTTTAAGATCAGGACGAGTTCGAAGTAGTTCCTGTAAAGCTTCAGATCATTTGGTTTTTTTGTTTTCTGGAAGAACATTATTTTCCTTGATCATATGTTTCTGTTAATCAAACATGGGTTAATTCAAAAATTAATTGTAAAAATTAATGTGTAATGTTAAAATACACAGTGGGTCTCGATTTAGCAGATTTAGGGGTTTAATGGATAAATTTTCTATAATTATTTTATCTCGATAAAAATCCATATATGTCACTTATAATAAAATTCTCTCGATATTATGGATAACGATGATTCTTGCCTTTTTTGGATAGCCTAATTTTATAAGTAATAATAGTCGTGTGACATGTCCTAAAATCAAGGGGCAAGTTTATTTTCCGAAAAATTTCCGGTGATCTACACAATTTTTTATTAATAAAATTTCGAATTGAATGTCTTCATACCCTCGTTTGATACCCTTGTTGTGTAGCAATTGCCACCAAATTTGATACATAACTTCTTTATCATATGTATCTGGTTTAAAAAAATTTTTGAAGCAAGTTGTTAATAAAACCGAAAATAATCTCAGCCTTAAAGTCAAATTTTAATTTTATATTCGTATATGTAGAAATTTGTTAGCAGGTCCAATTGCAAGCAAAGGTAAATTAAATGTCTAAATATTATATTTAAAATATTTACAGAATTATGTTCATTTTACTTCCTAATACTAAGGTGCATGTCTTTTATATTTTAAACAAATAAATATTGATTTATTATTATTATTATATTTATATTAATGTGATATGAAAAAATGATATATTAATATTAATATACATTCTATTAGAAGAGTAATTGTGAAAACCGATTATGGCGTGGAAAATGATCAAGGTTTTTATGAGCAATAAATAATATCATGTATAAAGAGTTGGTTAGAACTAAAACTTGTAAATATGAATTTATTTAATAATAAATTTGATGATGTTTATATTAACAATCAAAATGTCAAAGGCTAACTAATCTCAATTCATGAATTAAAGTATTGGATCAATACTATATACAGTCAACCCTTGTTTCAACAAATCTATAAGAAAATTGCATCTAAAATTCATTATATATACCATTGCGTTGTAACACAATTACAGCAAATTAATTATGATTTTATTGTAAATGAATTTAATATGGATATAGTAAATATGAATTTATTCAATAAATTTGATGATATTAACAATTAAAATGTCAAAGGCTAACTTATCTCAATTCATGAATTAAAGTATTGGATTAACACCATATACAATTGAACCTTGTTTAAATCCATAATAATAAGAAAATTGCACCTAAAATTCATTATATATACCATCGCGTTGTAACACAATTACAATAAATTTAATTATTATGATTCGTTGTAATGAATTTATTTAATAAATTTGATGATATTAACAATTAAAATGTCAAAGGCTAACTTATCTCAATTCATGAATTAAAGTATTGGATTAAATACTATATACAATTGAACCTTGTTGCAATAAATCCATAATAATAAGAAAATTGCACCTAAAATTCATTATATATACCATCGCGTTGTAACACAATTACAATAAATTTAATTATTATGATTCGTTGTAATGAATTTATTTAATAAATTTGATGATATTAACAATTAAATGTCAAAGGCTAACTTATCTCAATTCATGAATTAAAGTATTGGATTAATACTATGGTGCAAGTCACTTAGTTGCTGAACTTTTTATTGGCTGTGTAGATCCTATATCCTCTCCAAAAATGGAAATGTATGACCCAAAAAACAAATCATA